ATGGTAATATCCTTCATCTCACCTTTGCTTCAAAAAGAATAAGAAGAGTTTCTCACGTGAGGCCTTGTAACAACGTAACATAGTGATGCCTGTAACTGCATCCAATTATACATTTGAGAGTTTTTTAAATAATTCATGATTTAGGTCTACCTTTTAACCAAAGATATGTATCGGGTACATATACCATTCGGCATTTTCCATCTCTATTAAAGCTGCTATAAATGGACCCCGTGAGGCGTTTCAATGGTTCGAAAGAAGGGCAAAAATTTTCGAGCGAATCTTGCGGTATACATGGTACTGTACCGTACTGGTAAAAATTCAGTGACAGCCATTGAAAAAATTGAATTTCGTGTGCTGATTAGGCTTCCTTTTTTATGCATAAAAAATCGCTTACCGATACCGAAATCAAGGAAAGGCCGATAAAGTCATGGCCACAGTTTTTTGAGATGCACGCGGTGTCAGTCACGTCGATTATCTTGAAAAGGGCAAAGCAATAACTGGCAAATTTTATTCGGAGATTTTTTACGGATTCGATTTGAAGCAGAAACGACCACATTTGGCCAAGAAAAAAGTGATATTCCAGCAAGGCATTGCGCTGGTACACAAGTGTGTAGTCAGGGCCGAAAAAATCCATCAATTGGGCTGCGAATCAACTATGTGTGTTTATGTTTTCCCCAGACTTAGTCCCCAGTGATTATTTCCTGTTTACAAAACCAAAGAAATGGTTAAGCGGCAGAAGATTCGGGTCGAGTGAGGTCATCACTGAAACAAATACTTATTTTGAGGACCTTGGGAAACCTATTATTTGGCAGGAATTAAAAAACTGGTAAAACGCTGGACCAAGTATATCGAAATAAAACGCTTTTTTGCCAACAACAAACAATATATTTTATTCAAAAATTCATTGACTTTTCAAATTGCCCTCGCTCATTCATTTGAGGAATACGTGTAGTGTAGCTGTTATGGAATTGCAATAAAAATCTATCAGATAAAAAAGTCCCGTAGAAGTTTTTTGATCTCAAAGCAAGTAGTGCATAATGTTTGGTTTGGTAAAATGGAAGCAACTCATTGTTATTTCGATTTTCTTCTCAGATGAGTATCTTTAAAACCAATCAGTCTAATTTTGAACCATAAGTAATTTATAGAAGTTCCTGCATAACCAAAAAGTGATTTAGATTCGCATACATAAGTTCCCATTCTATTCAAGCAAGTTCGAAGATTCATTAAAGCGTTAAGCTCTCAGAACCGTGACGAGGTGAAGTTTTCGGGCAATATTGAAAAAATTCAAAAATCTCTGCACAAAGATTGCCTTCACGATCACTTTTTTATATCCAAGATCAGACCAAGATATGTAACGAAAAAACTCACAGCAATTTAAAACAAAAGGGAGCCGACTGTTTTGGAATTTATAAACCAAGAAGAACAATGAATTACGACACTTTATTATGCAAACATTTTCAAAAATGTTTCAGGAAAGATCAGTGGCTGACAATTTTTTGGAAATGAGATTTCTAATGTTATTTGTCATATCATTCGATTAGTAGCAATATTGTTGGAAATTACTAAATATTTTACATTTTTAGGAAACCTAAATATTTCATTAAGAAAAAAGTAAAAAATTTATTCGATAACGTAAAGATATTTGGCATCAACTGAAACCTTCAAAGTACCATCCATATAGTGCGGATTTTGCCTTTTCGGATTAATGCTCATTTCCGAAACTGAAACACGACCTACAAATAAAAAATTTTACTGATGGTGAGAAAGCGAAAACCACCTATGGGGCCTTTCTTTTTTCTTTTGATCGAAAACCTAAAATCATGTATGTATAAAACGTTTGAGAAATTTATAAAAACTAAAGAGGAATACATATCGTCGATGTTTTTGCAAAACCGCCCATCGCCCAATTGCGAAACCGCCTGTCTTACGGCACTCAAATTTTACAGGAGACCGAAAAAATGGTTTTCTTTGAAGGCAATACCTTTAGAAGCGGTATTTTCTCTAGCTATTAATTTACAAATCTGTTGTTTTAATAACGATTTTACGATTCTTATGCATAAATCTCGATGCCTGGAGTTCAGGGTTACCCAATCTCATTTTTGTCAAAATGGCGATTTAGGCGGTTTAGCAACTGGTCCATGGGCGGTTTTGCAAAAACATCGACGATATGGGTAAATCTATGAAAGCAAATCGACCAATGGCTGGAGTGGACCATTCTTGATATGCATGAATTTTAGTAAGAACTTTTCTTTTATCATAAAACGAATTCCTTCCAGAAAAAAAATTATTATTTCTTTTCAAAAGTTATGCAAAATTCTTTTCACAATTTCCGGGACTTTAGAAGTTTATTTATTTGAATATCTAAGAACTAATTACAATTTATTAGCTAGAAAATGGTTCTAGTCTCGTTTCAAGGGTGATATTTGGGAAAATAAAGAAAATGTGAGCTTTCAAATTTAGAAAGTTTAAGAATTTACAGAAATTTTTAATAAGAAAATTTGTTGCCAAAATTTTTCTTATATACTATCTCCAAATGATCTTAAAATATTCCGAAATTTATAATAATAATAATGAGTATAAAAAAATGTAGAGTTGGCAATAAACTTTTTTTTTTAATTTCAAAAATTCATATCTTAAAAAAAAATATCCTGAAAATTTCGCTATTTTTAATACCCGTATGAGGTTTTGTATAAAAAAAATTATAAGTATCTGCTATTCGATTTTAAATTTCAATTTCAAAAAAAAATATTCGCAAATTACCGCAACAGATATGTGACTCAGCATTTTTGGCGAAAATGGTGTTCCTAAAGCCATTTCGACGAAAGCGATTCGCAGTTACTGACTGTTTGTGGACTTGAAAAAAACGCATTACCTCAAAGCGTAAGATAGCACCAAACTTATTTAAATAACAGTTCAAGAAAATTGGGCTGACAGGAGAATAACCGTTGGTTTTTGGTCTTTTATAAACAGAACATGTGTATAAGTCATAAGTATGTGTTTCTGTTGAAAAAACATATTTTACTTGCTTGTGATCGTCGAGCACCGCGATGTGTAATTTGCTCGTTAGTCGCTGTCTGCTGATTGCTGATCAACAATCGCTTGGAGAAATTTGTTCATGTATGTACATGGAAAATAAAAACAAAGCACCAATCGAAAACAAAACTATTTCTAAAATGGAAAAGCCGAGCGGCAACTTGTAAGCGCATGCAATAAAAATTCCATACTGAAACGTAAAAATTGTAAAAACAAAAATTTTTAAGAAAACTAACAAAAAAAATTCCTTTAATGAGTGATTACAAACTGTGAAAACAAAATAAAAAAAAATATAACTAGAAGCTATACAGCTTACAAATCAATAAAATAGTTTGCATTTATTCATGCGTTAATTTTCAGATTCCTGAAATACATCGATTAGAAAAACAATAGAGTCCTTCAAAAGCAATATGAGTAAAGAAAAGTGTACAATTTTACAGCAAAAATATTAATGAAAACAAAGTTAACTTAATACGTGTTCTTACTCGTAACAAAAATTATAAACATTTACGCGCACTGCCGCCGCTAAAAATCGTTCATTCATACATACATATTTCAGTTGATATGCATTCGTACTAAGTAGGCAGCACTGTTGCGTCACTGTGTGAAAGAAGCATAATATTTATTTGTTTACATATTTATTTATTTTTGCTACAGCCAAAAATTTCAACAAAAAAAAACGACTGTAGACTACACAATACCGGCGTTGGTTAATAAACAAAGCTACAAACATACTATAAACTAACACATACATTCAACTCTGTGCTTCACCTATATATACATATACATATATACATGTGCCTGCGCCAATAGGATATATAAATTTGTGCATTTATTGACCGCAAGTACATTTTCCATTCTCGATCGGTTCACCTGCTGCGTACATAAAACATTCAATTTATTCACTCATTTCGTTTCGTGAATTTCACTTGCGGTTTATCGTCGTTGTAGTTTGTTGTTGTGGTTGCTATTTCGATATTACATTGCTCACATAAATTTAGCGGTAATGACAACACGCGGTATTCGTCGCAAGAAATCGACTTTGACAGAATTAAAAATTGCTGTCGTTGGAGCGCCGAGCGTTGGCAAGAGCGGTATGTTGAGATGCATCTAAAACTAATTTTATTAACTCATATTTTTTATTCATTGACATAAATAAGTAGGTATGTATGGACTAAATACAAATCTAAATTTGCACATAAATTGAGCATATCCGAATGGCTATGCGAACCGTAAATCGGTGTTACTCTTATACATTTTTTTGAGCATTCGATCGTCTCCGTTTGATTAAGTGTTTGTGTGCTTGCGAATTCTTTCACTTATTGTTAGATTACTTTCTAAAACATATTTAGAATATAGCACTAATCTCAAAATTTGGGTGAAAATTGTGTGTTGAGGTAGGTTAAGTTGAGATGAGGAGAGTTTAAGGGAAGTTAAACTGAATTAGGGCGTGTTTATGCTGGTATTCAGTAATTCTGTCTCATCTCAAGTCACTAAATTTGAGACTAGCAATTAGTGACTATTTTTGTGACTTGAGATGATTTGGGTATTCAGTAGGAGAGAGTCACAAAAAGTTCACCAAAAATGTGTGGTGAAAACAACCAGAGACAGTCAACTTATAGCATTTATGTAGGCCTTTTGCTCGCGCCGCCCCAAGGGTGGCAATGGCCGAGTTGTCAAGACATTGGGCTGCCGCTCGAGAGATCCAGATTCGGGTCCTCCTCAGACGGGGTTAGCATTTTTGATTTCATTTTTTTCCATTTTTTTGTTAGTTTTATTTTAATGTTTTAGAAACAAACAAAAAAATGTCAATGAAATTTTATGAAAGTATTTTGGTTTATTTTCTAATGAAATTGTTGTTGAAAAAAGATTTCCTCGCTAAATTCTCGCCTTTTTTTAATAAATATAAAGCAATTATTTTTTCCTCCAGTGACCTGCTTAGAGCCAGCTGACAAATTGGTGACTTTTTTAGACTAGAAACGTGAGACAGCTTACTGAATACCAAATTGTCTCAAAATCCATGTTCACCACCAAAAGTCTTTAATAGTGAATAAAGACTGCTAACTGAATCCCAGGGTTAGGCAGGTTAAGGTGACTTGAGGTGAGATGAGGGGAATTGAGAAGAGTCGAGGTGAGTTGAGTTCACTTAAGATAAGGTTAGTTTATGGGAATTGGCATGAGTTGAAGTGAGATGAGTTGAGTTGAGTCCATTGTAATTTAAAAGTATTGAAACTAATTTCTTAAGCTTGAAAATATTAGATTAGATTACATTAGATTATTATTTCAAGAAGGAAGTATGTCGCCTGTTTGCCGCAACTAACGACGATCTATTGTAATGAACCTTTATTTTGTTATAGGTCTTCTTTGATCCGCGTATCGCTATCAAGCTTCTAGATGCGGTAATCCCAGAAAGTGAAATCTCGGCCTAGTAAAGGCTTTACAGTGGCTGGTACTATGCTCTGCTATTTCTCGTTCGTCATGAGAGAACATCCATTCGTTCCCAAAAACAACATCCAAATCTGACAAGTGTCCAGTAAGAAAACCTGTAAGGTGAGAGAGTACTTTGGTTCTCATTCTTGAAATACCCGACATTACGGCTTTTATCTGTGTGTTAGGCTTTTTGTGTCATCCAGGCCCGCCGTTGAAAGATTTTCGAGCCAGAAATAAGATAAACACGGTTCCTCGAAGATGTTAGTATTAAAATATTATAGAGAGTGAGAAGCGCCGCCTTTCTATCAGAGTGTTTGTATGTACGTTTGTATATTAAGTTAGAATTTATGCCCCCTGCCAATAGCAATTATAATATCTACGCTGTCTTTAGTTAGCTGCGTAATTTGACGTGATGCCCAATTAGTTTTGAAAATTGTTACGACAACATGCCAAAAACTCTTTACACTTCCTTAAAAACATGACAAAGTGACAATGATTTAGGATTTTGCAAGTACTCTAAAATTGTTTATTTATTTTGGGATAATTTGCAAATTAACGTATTTAGCAATATATGTATGTAAATATTTTCAATTATTTATGGCTGCATCAAAAGCAAGAGCATCTTATGAGACGAATGGAAATGCGTACACTTGGCCAAAGTTCGAGTATATGTACATTAGGGTTGTCCAAAAATGCATGTAAAAAAAGTAAAGGTGGAATTTCGATGCCCTCAGCGCCAAGGTTGGTTCTACATCGCAAAACTATAATCCTATTTTTTTGTTTTGATATAAAAAAATATTTATAGGTCGCTAAAAGTTGTCCATGTATTTTATATGGGGATAAATCACTTTTCGTAGAAATGGAATAGAATTCTTGCAAATCAATATTTTTCGCAAAAATAATACCAAATTGTTTTTCTAATAATTTTTTTATAGTAACTATATTTTATAGGTCCCCAGAAAAATCAATGAGGGGACCAATAAACAATATTTAGTATAAGAAAATGGTTAAGTAAACAAAGGGTATTATTACTGGGTATCTCCTGAAGAGAACCAGAGTTTCACTTTGAGTGCTTTGAG